GACTGAGACTTTAGTGATGGCTTCATTGCAAGAAAAAGATAAATAAACTAAAATATGTGCCTTGAGTAATGGGAAGAAATGGTAAAAGGAGTGGACAAAAGAGATAAAAACGGGCGACAAGAATTACATAACTTTTAAATGTTTGATCTTGCTTATATTTGTACATTCTCGTTTTACTTAGAGATTTTTATTGCCCAGTGAACAGATTTTGAGATTTATTTCTATTTATTTCTCCCTTCAGGAGGCAAAGCATCCAACACCTGATACTGACAACAGTATGTCTTTATATATAGTCGCAGACGGACTAAAATCCTCAAGAGCAGTTTATGCAACTGATTACTCACTTTAGAATACCACTAATAGCTCTTTTAATCAGTAGGGTATTTACTGAATTGAGTACAAAACGGAGGATAAATGTTAACTTACAAATTCAACTCACACAATATTTAACACGCAACAAATGGAAAAATATGATGACTCTTAATTTTATCATATCAACGAAGTCATTAGATTAGCATATTCGGCTGTCAAACAAACGATTGGTAGTTGCAGTTCATCCAGGGACACTAAGGGTTTGTGGGTATGTGGCTCAAGGACAGAATATTCACCAATCGGTCTCTATTCCTGATCCTCCTGAAAACTTTGCTTTCATATGTTACACAGCCGATTCAAGCATAAATATTCAGTCACTGGTTTGAAAATAATGTTTGACTGACTAGACTTCCAGCCAAATGCGAATATGGTGAGTTTGGCTGGTAAATTAGGTAAATACGGCTGATAGCGTGAGACTTATCACTAATAGATCCATATTTATAGAATTATAGCTGTACTCGAATACCGACTGGAAAATTATTCTAATAACAAAGTATCTTGTGAGAGCTATCTGAATATTAGGTATTTTTGGTGAAAAAATAAGTGGCATGCTATACGGAAAAAGAATTATGAAGATCATCAGATAGCCTAAATAAACTGACCAAAGTAAGGGGATCAGGAAAGATTTTAGGAAAAATAAATATCATCTAGATAGCCATTGTATACTATGGTGCAACGGAAACTGTCTACTTCGGTCTAATTTGAGACTCTTCTGTGCCGCATACTGATGACTGCTTAATCAACCGGTGCTTTTTGGCAAAATTTACCTTTAAATTAGTCAAATTCTTGGAGTTTCTTACTAACTAAGGTTGTGTTAGTCGCAACGAATTCTGTATTATGTTATTCTTCTCAGAATCGTGATTCAGAAGGCTTTTGAAATTAGTGAAGAGTATGTTTCACAGAAGAATCTGTATATGCTTTATTTTATAAAATCTGGATATAATTGGATGCAGAAACTTATTTTTAGACCAGTAAACAACAACTATACAAATCTTCAATTTGTCTGAAGTTTCGTTGGAACTAGTCTTTTCAATATTTTTCGTGCATATATCTGACTTCCCAGCAGCTATAAACTATTGATAGAATTTAATGTTCTTCTTTAAAATAATATGAAATGTCTCATCTATGTATAATGTTGTATACTGGTTTTTCAATCGATCATCTGGAAGCATAACTTTTAGTACTGGCACTAGAAGCATGTACGTTGAATGTGTTCATTGGAGATTTATAAAGCTTTTATTCCAATCAATTTTAACCCATGATGAGAAGAATGTGTACGTATATAAATAAAAGAGGAAATTTTCAGTTCCCACTCACCTATTTTGTTTTGATGTGAAAATAAATTTTGTGTTGTTATTACTTCAATGAAACACCTTTTGAATAGAATACTGTAAACTTTACAAAAATTCTCATTTCACCACTTAAGCTGGAAAAGTCGATTTGTAGTTTGGCCCACATATATCGATGAAAAATTACAAGTATGAATATATAATTATTACACTCAATTTTAAATTGAAAAACAGTGAATACGATCATTTTGTCTGTTCTCTGTTATGATGCCAAAGTCGCTTTCACGTGTAACTTTTCTACGTTCATATAAGACGTGATGAGTAGATGCTAGAAGTGACTTTAAAATCACTTTTCGGTTACCATTTTCCACCTGTTTCACAGCACGTGTTAAGCTAAGAGTTTCTGTTCAACTTAAATTTTGTTCGTGTAGAAAAAATCTTTTTTTCTATGCCTGCTCACAAAGAAAAATAAGTAAATACTTCCCGAAAATCAGAAGCTCATTTTCAATTAAAACATAGTAACAAACTCCTACAGAAAAAAAGTAAAGCGATTTAACTCAGTCTAAATTGAAATTCCACATAAACGGCGGCAATTAAGAATGAAACTGTAAGAAGAAGTTTTTTCTTTTGTATATAATAACAGTAGTGATAATAAATGGCTTTATTCTCGATAGTATACAACTGAAAATTAGAGAGAATTCAACTTTTACGTCTAATAATGTTTCTAAACACCATGAATACTAATCCTTTAGACCACAAATTAGGAATGTGGAATAAGCAATAAGAAGAGTTGAGTGTTGTGTAAAAACAGAAATTAATGAAAACGTTCAATTCGAATAAAGACCAAAGGAGTTGAAATATAAAACAGCTGTGATGGTCCTACTTAAGTTAACTCAATAGCCGAAGCAAAAGGAATCCACCTGAAGAAGCCAAAACTGTGTGTAAGAAGTAATCTAGGTAGGTGGAGAGAGAGGTTGATTACTCAATCCTTGTTCATCGAGTCTACACCCAACACGTGCAATAGGAATGACTCATTACTCATACCGGAAATATGGAAAATACTACTACCAATCAAATCAAGCGATGAAAAATAATGGAATTATATGAACGAAGTTAGAAAGTTGTGTGAGTACATTGATATGATTATGAGTGGCAATAAATTGTGCCCGAAACGTCATCAGTAAATATTACTGTATAAAACTGTGAGGCTTTATAAAAATAAATCTTAACCATAGTGGAATTCTACACTACCACAGTGCACAAGTTCTATTCTTATATTTTTTTATATACTCTTTAGAAAATCTTCACAAGAACAAACCCGTTTAAGATGACATGTATGAAAAATAACATTTGCTTACATTTGAAAACTCATGCAAACTAAATCAGTGGGAAAACTAGACTTCGAAGGACAGTCAGACATCTAAATGAGGGATATACTGTTATTTCAGATACTTTCCTGAAGACAGTATTCTTGAGTTAAGACCGAATCATAGTAGTACGGCGCAGTTCTGATTCTCTGATACAATTTAAAGCAAAGTTAATGTTATCTATACTTTGGTTTGTAAGGGTTAGTTTTGTTTATACGAGTTGATCATGGATTGATATCAGTTAGAGAACCATTGTTTTTAATGGTTCTCTAACTGATATCAATCCGTGATCAACTCGTAAAAAGTTAATATTAGCTTTATGCTCATATACATTGCCAACATTTTGGAGTATGAGTAGCTTGTAGATTGTGACGTGATCCGATCAGTTTTATATGCCGTGCTTATGTTTTCGAGTGATTATGAGGATTCGAAGCAATTTTTCAAACTGCGTTTGCAGCACATCAATTTCACTGGCTCCGGGTAAGCTATTTTACCGCTGCATAGTATGGTGGATCCCGAATACCCAAAGCAAGTGTCAAATGAATAACACGTTTATGGAAAAGAAACACAGAAAATTTGGTTACTCACCGGACAGATAACCACTTCAACTAAGCACATTATGTGGTATACGTAATGATGGCGATATTAAACGACACACCTATATAGGAACTAACGAATACATAAATAAGTGTTGTTGAAATGTGTGTTAGGATTGTCTGATACCAGTTGCTACATCCGTAACTGTTATATGGGAGGTATTTAACCTAATCAAAAAATTTACAAAAAAGCATATATGATACTACTTTTTACACCACTAAGAAGCCGTTTCACTTCTTGAATTTTAGCAAACAGTTATTAGTTTTTGCGTTGCAGGTTAGTCATCACGCCTACGCTTACGTGTGCTGGTTCACCAGGTCCCACTAAGCTACGTGCTAGTCTTACGAAAGGTAAAATTAGTAAATTCTAACCAACACGTTCTTCATTTTGTTTCTAATTTAGTTAGTAGGCAACAACTTAAGCTCAGTGGATAGTTAAGGTTTCTTAGGGTTTATTTGTTGTCTTTACTTATGTGTTATAATAATATACTATTCATTACTGGAACCCAGTAGCATAGCTTCTTTAAACTCTGCTGATTTACCTCTGAGTCAATAGCTATTGCATCTTTACATTTTAACACCTTTAAGATTAGTGGGATAGAGATGAGAATAATCATATACTCTTACATTTGTTTGTGTTGTATTAAGACGGGAATAATTCAGCTCGCTGAGGTAAACCATACCAAGCACACACCTCAGTCCTAAACAGTCAAAAAGACTGTCTAGTTTTTAGATAACCGTGATCTGGTCCAAACCATTCCATGGTGTTTATCTTGTACAACATGCTTTCTTTCTAGATACAATTTAGATTGTCAAACAGATGACGTATTGTGATGTGAATCAGGGAACAAACTTCCATGAAACCTAACCTCAAACTGTGTGACCTACAAACGATAAATTTTATGACATAGTAACACACCTGAATAATGAATGCCTACTGTTTGAACATAACTTCATTGGAAAAAGGACTCAAAAAATGTATGCACAAGTTTAGACATTTGTTAGATGACCTTCTAAGAAGTCTCAGGAATTTCTACCAAGTATATAAACTGAACAGAAATAGATACCCTTTTTCTAAATTTAAACTCAGTGTGACCTTACTACTCTGGCAAAGTAAATAAACGTTTAGAGAAGCACCCAAAGGCATTTGTGTGCAATCCATAGAGTAGTCATAGATATCATTTATAACACTGGAAAAAACAACATGTCACTACAGTTTTACTCTCTAGGTGAGATAAATTAAGTTGGACTAGAACGTTCACCCCTTCAGTATAAATGCTTTTAAATTTTTTAAATAATTTTGTCTAAAAACATTCACACTCAATATTATAAATACATTCAAGGACAACCTATTTCTGAACCACAGGAATTTAACCACACTACTATTTTTAATATTGTCGTCATAATGTAGACGTATTGCGAAATCAATGGGTTTTGTTTGCTTTCTGAGTACGTGTGCAAATATATATATATATAAGAAGTAGTCTTGTTGGTATGAAAGATTTACTCTTAAGCGCAGGTAATCACAGTCTACATATGTGTATTTACTAAATTCATATTTTTGAAAACTTTACACTAATTTACTTATTTTTCTAATGATTGAACAGTTGGTAAAGAAGAAGGCTTTTAAAGCTACAGAACAGCAGAAGGTTTAAAGAACAAAAAATAGCTATAAGAAGATAAACTGAATGCTTGATATACGTTTCGATTATAATAAATACATGAATTCGTGAGTAGACATTATTGTTGTGCTTTAAATAAATGTTACTTCCTTACAGTGTTAGTTTGTTTACTTGCTAACTGTCAATGAGATACCGTATAATTTACTATGTGACGTTTTGAATACAATTTATTAATGAAATTCATGAAAATCACACCATCATACTCTAGTAACTAAGTTTCACTGTTATGACAAATTTCAAACAGTTTGAAGCATGTAGTCCTCTCAACCATGTAACTTTTTATTTATTTTATATTTTATTTTGTTCCTTTACGTTCCCAGTTGAACATAGGGCTTCAAGCTAGAGCTTTGAAGTCTCGGTAACAGAGGTGTTTATTTTTACGGATGGGGTTGCTGGCCTCATGCCCAAACTTCCTTTTCTACCGGTCATACTACCGGTTTAGCGGGGCATAGAAGTGCGTCTACTGGGGGTTAAACCCTAGACCACATCATAGTTGGCAAGCATTACACCATTGAACCTCTCACACACTATATAAATGAATTTGTTAAAATTAAAGCATATTAAACAGTTTTGTAGATAAGTATAGTTTGTTGTTTCTGCTGTCAAAATAATGTAAACTTATTACAACTTCAAGTTTCTCATTAACTTATGGCTCGGCTGTAGAGAAGACTTCTCCATCAATGGATACGCTGAAGTGTCTGTCCTAACAATCATAAACTATCTTCTCAGTTAAACCATATAGCCTATCAACAATGATTCCTTACAGGATAAGTTTAGTTCATGTCGAGTTTATTAAGGCAGCTGGTTCTCTGTGGGCAGCTTATTCCAGCTAACAAATACTGTCAGTTCACTCAATGGTTCACTTATTACTGAAGTATGTTATTCAGATTACAAATTGTAATCTTCATACTTCAGCTTTCATAAACGAATTATACTGACAAAACTCAATTGTGTTGTTATTTTGATTTAATAAATGAATTTTGGTGACACTGTCTTTCCAGTGTACATTAGGCACAATTTAAAAAGTGTTGATGGTGCAAATTAAGAGCAGTTGATGTTACAGACTCAGTAATTAAATACTAGTCACTAGTCACAATACCTAACTTTCATTTCCACTGTATTAATTCTCCATCAGTCTTACTTCCAAGTCTTCGATTACAGTGTTACTTAAAGGAAATTCAGATTTATAAGATGAATAAAGTTTGATGTTTCTAATTACCAGATAGTATACATCTCTAAGTGGCAGTTAATAATGAACGTCTACACACAAATTAACTTACTGTGTGCAAACAAAAATAGATAAAATGTGGCTTTTGCCTTCCTATAATATTTTTACTGATCAAGATTTAGCTGAAATATGACAGACATGTAGGTAAACTGAAATGTAGTTATAAAGCAATTTACACGAAACAAGTTTGTGTATCAAACAGGTCAGCATATTTAAGGAATGTTAATCAACTTTAAAAACAGTTTGTTGGCTAGAAAGATCCAAATTAGGAATTCTAGGATGAAGTACTTCACAGAGGAGGATCTCACACCCTTCAGTTTATTCTATGCTTGTTTTGCTTCAATCACCAGTGTGTTTTCCCGGATATCACTATGATTACCAGATATGTAACAGCTTGTATTGCATCACCCTATCACTCCATTTTTATTCTACTCAATATAAAGTCAAACTTAATAATGTCTATGATTTAAGGTCTGGGTATCGTCTCGGCTTTTTTGCCTATGGAATTAACACTCATAAGTACAAAATGAAAATCAGTCATTATAATTTAATTCTATCTTAAATATGTAGGTTCTCCATAGCAGTCTAGATTCTCCACACTAAGGGAGCTGGTGAAATATGTTTATAATTTTAGGAAAAACTACCTAAAATTCCTGGAATTAAAAGAGCAGTCAGTAAATAGGTACTAAACTTCTCTATTAACAAAAGCATAGCGTATGTGCTGAAGCCGTTCGACAACTTCATTTCTGTTATTTATTGAAAATTATTTAGTATTCTGTTTTTATTATAATCATTATTATTTTAACTTGAAGGGAAATCTAATTATATTCTAAGCATTAACAAATTTCTGTTTCTTTTCTCTGTTATAGTGATGAATTCTGGAAAATGATCTTTATTGAAGCAGACAGTGATCATAATGGGAGGATTAGTTTTAATGAATTTAAAAGATATATGGATAAGTACAGTTATGCACTGGGAAAGAAAGAAGTGGAAAGAGCATTTAAATTTTGTGATTTAGACAAAAGTGGCTACATTGAATATAATGAGTTTAAGAAATATATGAGATGTGAACTATGAAATAACGTGTACCATATTGGATATGACTATATTTTTCCCAATCGGAATTTTCTGATTCTTCAGATTTTTTTCTTATGTATTTTTTCAGTTTTTGTAAAATAAACAGATAAATTTCTGAGTTTTTCCTTCCGGGAATTTTTTGCTTCTCGTCTACTTCCTGAATCTACTAGTTGTTTGTTAGAATGTATCTAGACAGCTTTTGGATCCTGAAGATGATAGCTAGGCAGATACTATAAACATTCGTTTATAAATGGCCTTAGGAAATAATGTAGAGACTGTTTTACTGACGTTTCGCTATTTAATGCTAATAGCTTTATCAAAGTATTATTAAACCAGAATTTATGCAATCTTAGCTTATATATAACAATTTAATCATCGTTCCTCAGCATGGGGGCATTTTTCGTCATCAGATTGGCCAATTGGTAAAGACAACAAAACCAGGTGTAGTTTGTTGGATTTGATAAGCGTGTACAATTATAAAAACAGCGTGTGTTTACATGATGAAACTGCTTGTCACATTCGTGTTGATTTTCTCACTTCATGAGGGAGGCAGGTGTAGTAACCAGATCAAATTCTGTCTTAGTCCATCATTCCTATTTAGACAATTTGGATTCCACTTGATATGAAGTGCTTCTGATATTAGAAGTTCTTTGTGATCAATCAAATCGACCCTTAGTATTACTTTTGACAGGGTTGTGTGATATATTAAGGTGTTTCATTATTTAATAGAAACTTAGAACTTCATAAAATCAGATTTCAATACTTATGTTCACAGTGTTGTAAATGTCCATGGCGCAATCAAAACAAGATGATTTGGAGCGAACAATTGTTTTCGATAAATTCTTCCTTAGACCCTGATATAAGAAGTTCTTTGTGATTTGTGAAATTTTTCTGGATTATTTCAATATTGTCAAAATCAATTTTGTGGCCTGATTCTATAGCGTAGCATGTGGACGAGCTATGGCTGATGATTTTGCAAGCTTTTCTAGTTCAGCTGGATTTCTCTGTGGGAAATACAAAAAACCTTTATTGTAATGAATATCATGTACCCAAAGCCCAAATTTTGTCAAAGTGTTGAAAGTGAACTTGGTTTGGACATATATAATACAGAGACTGTTTAAAATACAGAGTATGTAGTGTTCACAGGAAGTATAGAGTATTAAGGAGGCTCTTTATCATTCGATAGGTATCTTATGCCACCGTTAAGCTAAAGAATACCGTTCTAGGTGAACATAGGTTTAACTAAATGAAATAATCTTGATCGACAGAATTTTGAACAGGCGTAATAAGATATTTTCACTGAGCACATTTAGTATGTTAAGTCTTTCGATACTGATAAAAGATGAGATCTTTTTGACAGTAAATTATTTTAATTCAGAATTAACTATTAGGTATAAATAAAGAGCCTTTAGCTTGGGGTTTTGCATTTGTTAAAAATGATCGAGCTTATAAATAACGGTAATGAAAGATAAAAGAATCAACGAGACTGCAGTTAAATGATCAAAACAAGAAACATAAGTACCTGAATTTTTTCGTTGTATTCTTCCTCAGGCTTTAGACCAGCTGATTGATGAATTTCATTGCATACTTAATAGTACGTGGCATAAGTAAAATAACTGTACTTGTAGTATTACTTTAGACTTACTTGTGAAGTAGAGTGTGTTTATAGCATGTCAAAAGCTTAGAAATCTTCGTAGAAAGAACGACCTACAATAAGACCACGAAAAGTGAGCAGTATAATAATATATTAAAAATTGTTATTGTATAATTGAGAATGAAACATGTTTGGAAACCTTGTTGTTTTTATCTAGATGTTCTCGAGCTATGCTCTAAGATGTACTGCTTTTCAGATATGTATTAAGTTGAAACCAACCATAGTTTTCTATTGTAGAATAATGAGATTGATATAAATTATCTGTTTAGTCATAACATTTATAATACTAATACTATTAACAAGAATAAGGAAAAATAGGAAAATTCGTGATAAAAATAATGATAAAACAGAGGCATTATACTAACAAGTATTCCAATAGACGTAGCGAATCAAGTTCGTGAAAACAAATCTATGAGATAACATGATGCTAAACTGCAAAGAAGGTAGATAAACTGAGTTCTGATGAAGAAGTAATAAACAGGACATCACTGACATCGTCATAGACAACATCATAGGCATTTTATGAGTGTATGCATCCCCCGACAGAGTAAAAACTAAAGTAACGTACTGAATCAAAAAGGGATACTGTCTATTTTAAGTGTAAAAACACAGAGTAAAAAGATTTATTAAAATGGATTTCATTACGACCATGACATGTATCTTGCCCATTCTTTAGAATATTACTTCCTGAGTCAGCGAGAAGAAACATTTTTGTCTAGTAGTCAAATGCTTAAGTCATTTTGAATGAAAGAAAAGTAACTCTGCGAAAGGAAGGGAGGAACAGCACTCTAGAACAAGACAGTTTCAGAAATTTACGAAAACTGAGTAATACTGCAGGCCTCACATTCATTTTCATTTTTCAGACCATTGCAGTTTAGCAGGAGATAAAGTAATCTGACTCCAATATGCTTATCAATCCCTAAAATACTTTCATAGTTTTCATGTTCCAAATACTGCTGTAAACCCTTTTGTCAGGCAGTGTCGATCCAAGAGAAAACTAGAAGTTAGGATGAGAAGCTTTCATTTTTACAAACTTTAAAGCCATCAGAAGGAATTTCAATTAATCAATAACACAAACAAACATGAAAGATATGAAATCTTTAAGTTTACTCATCGTTCAGCTACTCAGTATGCACAAAATATGACGGCTACCACACATATCACATGTTTGTTTTGGTATTCAGTAAAACTAGGTGAAGCAACATAATACAGATTAAAAAATTCAAATAATTTTTATTAGCTTGTTAATGCTAGTTTCCAAAGTCTTCTTTTAAAATAAAGGCAGTAACAAAGGTACAAAAATTAAGGAAAGGGATGGGAGAATATATTTAGATCTTTAATTCTTCTGTTTTCAGTATTACTCTAACATTTTACTGATCCAATCCTTGTGCTTCATCCTTCCTACACTCCATTTTTGGTTTCACTTTAAAATCAGCTAAATATCTACTGCAAATTAGTAAGTATGAAACTGATAGCAATTGCTCCCTTATATTAAATAACTACCTGACTACTATTTTAATATATCCCTTTAATAGTAATATATTTAACGCATGTCATGATGTATATTTTTTTTACCGGAACCTCTCACACAGTTACAAAATAAATAGGTTCAACAATCAGTCTGAATGGCTAAACCTTTTACTTTTTCGGCAAATAAATTTTTCAAACTTTTAAGATAATCTGCTAATCAAATCGACCCTTAGTATTACTTTTGACAGGGTTGTGTGATATATTAAGGTGTTTCATTATTTAATAGAAACTTGGAACTTCATAAAATCAGATTTCAATACTTATGTTCACAGTGTTGTAAATGTCCATGGCGCAATCAAAACGAGATGATTTGGAGCGAACAATTATTTTTGATAAATTCTTGCTTAGACCCTGAAGTTATAAAGCCATGAATATTATAATACAGATAGCCATTAAAGGCATGCGAAAATTATATCGGAAACTGTATTGGGGTACATGTATAATATGGAGTGATATTTCGTTATTTAATACTGTCAAATGAAAATCTACAGTCACTCAGAACATAAGAAAAAGTGTGAATAGACAAAAGGGTGGGTGGGATACTAATCTTTTTATAGTCAACAAAGTGTGAGTTTCTTTGAGGGTGGGTGGGGGTAAGTTATATTTAGTGGCTTGCGAGAAAAAAGAATACTACAAAATGCATACAAACAAATACTAACAAATGGGGAAACACTGGCAGATATCAAGTGTAGTGATAAAATAAGGAGGTTAGATTGTGAACTGTAATAAAATAGTAATAAAATTTGATAGTATGGAAAATTCCCATATTATGAATTAAAAGTCAGTCTGAACGAAGAATATTCTTTTCAATAATTTCTCTTCAGGTTCTTACAATTATAAAATATAATATTTGTTGTCGTTACAATGAAGACCAGTTATGCGGCAGATACATTTTTAACGTAGAATTACAGATTAGTTATGGGGTGTCAAAACTAATCTGTTATTCTACGTTAAAAATGTGTCTGCCGCATAACTGGCCTTCATTGTAACGACAGCAAATATTATATTTCATAATTGTAAGAACCTGAAGAGAAATTACTGAAAAGTTTAGTAATAAAATACTAGAGACATAATAAACAGTGTAAATTACGAAAGGTCGACACATAATAAGGGTAATAACAGAGTAAAATGAACTGGGTGATAAGGAATAACAAGGTATAATATGACATAAAAATATGGATGATTATGTCCCTGATGACTTTACAGTAGGCCAGGGTAAACAAAGAGGATGAATGTGCTTCTTATGCACACGTAACTCAGGTTTTTGTCTCATTAACCTCTTTAGCTTCTAATATAGCTAGGAAACGTAATCGTTTGCATTTGGGCAGATTGTTTGGTACTCGATACACAGCCGTAAATGCTCATCTATTTTAATGTGGTGTTCACTACCTACTAGGTGAAGCAAAATGGCACTATTTATTGATTTGGTTACACTTTTTCCAAGCCAAACAGGAACATTTTCACGATCGCATAAAGATAAATTCCTCTGAGTTCAACCTATATAACTAGCTCTACATGAGCAGTTGAAATTGTATACATACAATGATGTGGCGTGATGTGATGCGCTGTGTTAGTACCGGACTGGCCTAGAAACTGATGTGCAGTTCTGCAGCACTGAAAGTTTTTTTTAACTGATCTGATCAACCTACGGCTTAATATATCACTGCATATATCACTTTTGAACTGTACCTTTAAATAAAGCTTTTTCTTATTCGCTGTGTCATGCTCTTTTAGAAATATACTTCTTTACAAAATTGGTAGGGTAGTAGGATATTTTTGAGATTTTTGATTTCATATTCAGTACAACCCTCGGTGAATGTGTGTCGAATCCTATGACTAAGACAATGAATCAAATTTTCGCCTATGCTGTATGTGTATGAAACTATGGAAATGGATATATTGCCCCTTCCACGTTGCTTTTCTGTAGATATTTT